TGCCTGCTGGTCTACGGTGGTACGAAAGTGTGAAAGTCGCACCCTGGAAAAGTGACAAGTGCATAAACATTTTTTGTCCCTTGAGCTGATCGTGAACAAGTCTCTCTTTGCAAGGATTTTATATGTTTGGATCAGTGTATCCTATATATCTGCTGTTCATTGTTCACATCCACACTACTGGATGGGCTGTTATTTTCAGAGATTGGTAGGGTCTTTTTGAGGTGAGATTAGTCAGAGACAGGTGAAAGTCTCTGCAGGAAAAAAACCCTACAATTACAGGCTTTAATTTCTGCTCTCCATTTCTGGATTTGAAGTGTGTCTTTCCCCCCTTGGGGGATCTTCACTGGCTTGGTATTTTCCACCAGTTAGTTCCCTACCTCCCAATCCGGGTGCTCCAGTGCCTGAGTGCAGAGCCAGAATTCCTGTCCCACTGAGCATGGTGTCCAGAGCACTGGAGCTCTTCAGGAATGACGCTATGTTGCTATTTTCTTGGTCTAGATCTAATTGCAGTACAAGCCTGTTTCTTCTGAGTGCTTTGTGAAGTTGCTTATTCTGAACGCTCAGCTGAAGCACTGTCCTGGGCTCTCAGGCCTTGTTTGGTGCTGATTTTCTAACAGCAGTAACTTCTTTTCTCATGTGTGTTTGTCCCTGATTCTTTTATTTATTTGTGTACTTAGTTATTAAAGCCTCCATCCAAGCTTTTTTCCTTTCCTCTGAAACCATGAGGGTGACCTGCTATTAGCAAGCAGCCTGCTGGCTCAGTTGGGGGGTGTTGGAGGACTGAGTCCATGCGGCTTTTTCTTCTCTCTCATACCCTCGCTCAGATGATGGTGGTGACTCCCGGCGTGATCTCACTGCAGGCTTGGACTCCAAGGAATACTGCTTGTCGGACCGGGACATTGTGGAGGTGGTGAGGACAGAATATGTTTATACCCGCCCACCCCCGTGGTCAGACACCCTTCCCACCATCCACGTCATTACACCCACCTACAGCCGGCCTGTACAGAAGGCAGAGCTGACGCGCCTGGCCAACACCCTCCTGCACGTGCCAAACCTGCACTGGATCCTGGTGGAGGACTCACAGCGGCGCACACCTCTCATCACCCGGCTGCTGCGGGACACGGGGCTTAACTACACCCACCTCAATGTGGAGACACCCCGTAACTACAAGCTGCGGGGAGACATGAGGGATCCCCGCATCCCCCGGGGCACAATGCAGAGGAACCTTGCCCTGAGATGGCTGAGAGAGACCTTTAACAAAAATAACAGCCAGCCTGGGATTGTTTACTTTGCCGATGATGATAACACCTACAGCCTGGAGCTCTTTGAGGAGGTAAGACCCTGCTGGGGGGCCCCACACTGGCAGAACACAACAGATTAGCACGTGGGGTGTTAAAGATGCTGTGTACTGAGCTGAGGAGAGGCTGCGTACATCCTCTGCTGAGCTGTGGATCGGTCTTGTCTGTATAGTGTTTCCACTGCAGCTGTCCTGAAGTTTTCTCTGGGGCTTGGTTACTGTGCTGCAAAGTGTGTGTTTCCCAGTGTCAAAGGCATCCTGTGTGAAGTAACGGGAACCCCAGTTTATCCTGCGGCATGTGATCAGGAGGCAGATAGGTTTTGCCATAACGGAAGCTAATGAGGAGCTGTCTTTCCCTGTGTGAAGCCTTGTTAGGGTTGTAACATTGCCTGCTGTCCAACGTGCCTGTGCAGAAGCACATGCTTAGCAAAAGAAACCTCGGCCATCCTCCCTCCATGCACCACCCTGGAGGAGATTTCCAGCTGGTTCCTGATCTGATGTTGTCCACTTTTCTTCTCCAGCACCCCTATGTATTGCACTTGGCTGTTTGTTAATTCATGTTTGTTCTTGTTTGAGGAGCCCCTGGGGTTTCTATTCCTTGCTTGCTGTTTGCGTTTGTTTGCTCTCATCCCAGAATGTCTACTGGTTAAATTCTGTAGCTGTCAAAACTCTGGCACCTGCTCTGCACAGATCCCCAGTCGAGGCAGCAGTGCCCTTTCAGAGTTACGCCTGAATGGTGTCAGCGCAGTCACAGCACTTGCAGGACATCTTGTTTGCAGGTGCTCTGTGTGGTTGTCTCTGGCTTGCTGCACATGCGAAGAGCATGTGTTTGTCAGTGCTTGCTTCTCCTCTCAGAAAAGTGGAGCCTTCACACACTGCCTTGGAGAGGGCTGTCTCTCTGCCAGGAGACATGTGCAGCACTCCGCTCTGGAGCTCTTCCTCTCGCAGCATCAGGGGATGGATGGTCTCTCAGGCTGTTTTAAGTAGGCGATGGGTCTGAGATCTCAGCCTGGAAGCTCCAGGAATGGTGATGGCAGGCTGAATTTCAGCATAGAATCCTAGAATCATAGAATTTTCTAGGTTGGAGGGGACCTTTAGGATCATCTAGTTCAGCCATCAACCTAACACTGCCAACACCACCACTAAAACACATCTCGAAGCACCACATCTGCCTGTCAGCATGTGCCGACAATCTTGTTGGGCTCGAGTAGGGGAAGGTTTCCATGTGCTTTCCCACCTTTGCTGTTTGTTTAGAGCCCCACTCCTACTGGGGCTCTAAATGAACTCCTGAGCCTTCCCCTGTCTGCAGGTTTGCAATGGTCTTACAGTGCCAGGTACACTGTACCTCACCTGGCTTCCAGCTCAGAAATTACTTGTTCCCTTGCTCTCCTGAGGCTGAGCTCTTGCAGCAAGGGACAGGAGACAAGGATTGCTTCCTTCCCCACCAGTTGCCGATTTTCACACCAGGGATCTCCTATTTATTTGCTCCATACATCCCCCTTTTCCTTTCCCTGATGGCTTTCACTTTAGCTTGGATAGCCACAGGAATATACACACTTTTAAAGCTGAAAGGAAATTCAAACTGAATGTCTTCCTTCCACAGTCCCCTTTGAGGCTGGCTCTGGCAGCACCTTGAGACAGACACCGCACATTAATAAAGCAGAAAGGGTTCCTTCGTTCACTCATGTGCTTTTCTCACAGAGGTTTCTCCTCTCTGATATGCAGCTGCAGTTAAGGTCACACGGAGCCAATGAAATGTGCTGTGAAATGCCGAAGACACACACTATTGTTCCCTGTGGACAGGGGCTGCCGTTAGTATGTGTATAATGCAGAAGGGCGAGTGCCAGAGCTCTTCTGGTCTCCTTTGCAGTAATTAGCAGTGATGAGATTAGCTCTGGGAGATCCCTGATCTAAGATACTGGGCTGAGAGCAGAACGCAAGTCTGAGCCTGCCAGCAGAGCAGGACAGGACGCTGGTGGGTGAGTGGGCAGACTGGCATTCAAAGCATCTGCCTTGGCAAGTGCAAGCATCAGAAGTGTCCTATCTATTTCTATCTATTTCTGTTGACTCTACAGGGAGTAGAGGCATCCAGCATTGTTCTGCTGGGTAGCAGGAGCAGCTACAAAGCACTGTCCTACATGCTGGAACTTTCTGGAGAGCCTGCACTTCTCGGCTGTCCCTGAAGTTGAGGGCTACAGCTGCAGCCCCTCACTCTACAGATGCTTTTACTGTGGATTTTAGGCTGAGATTGCAGCTTAAACTCTTTAGCTTTCAGGGGAAGCACCTTTCTTCCTAGATATGCCATTCCTGCATTTCCAGGTGGCCTTGGACAAGGTGCTTCCCTCCTCTGTGTCCTGATTTCCCCAGCTATGCAGAGGACTGAAGCCCCACAGCTCTAAAGACCTTTAGACAAAAAAACCACTCTTAAATCTCAGTTATGTTTATTATTGACAGCTTTGTTTTTAGTGCTGAACTCATGCTTGGTTCCGCGGCTCTCCATTACTATTGCTATTGTTAGTTACCACTTCCCAAAGCACTTTGCTCCTCCAGCTCCAGGATGTGCATCCTTGTACAGGTGAGTAATGTGCTCTGTGGCTTGGTCCAAGCCACAGAGGGTGCCTGGGAACGTAACCCAGGCTCTTAGCTCTAAGGTTTGTGCTGAAGCTCAGGGACGTTTGTCTTCTGCAGGACAGTGAGCAAGGGGAAGTTGTTCTGCTGGGTTGCTGGTCTGTGTGTTGGAAGTCACGTGCAGCCGATCCTTCTATGTGCACTCACTGTACCCTTCTCTTTCCTTGCCTCCAGATGCGCAGCACCAGAAAGGTGTCAGTGTGGCCGGTAGCCTTTGTCGGTGGCTTGCGCTATGAGTCACCCAAAGTGAACGCTGCAGGGAAGGTCTATGGCTGGAAAACTGTGTTCGACCCCCATCGCCCCTTTGCTATAGACATGGCGGGGTTTGCTGTGAACCTCAGACTGATTCTCCAGCGATCTCAGGCTTACTTCAAACTGCGAGGAGTGAAGGGAGGCTACCAAGAGAGCAGCCTGCTCCGGGAACTAGTGACCTTGAATGACCTTGAGCCAAAAGCTGCCAATTGCACTAAGGTATGGTCTCTCCTTCATACATGGGTTGTAAGGATCCAGAGGTAGGAGAAAGCCCTTTCAGCCCCATCATTCAGTCACTTGTCCTCTGTGTTTGAAGAGAGCACACCCCCATTGCAAGGGAGCTGGGAACAGACGATTGTGTGTTAAAAAGTGTGGAGGGCAGTTATCTTTTTTGGTTGCAGGCTGCTGGTGGTTGCCATCGGCCTTCTCTTCCCTGTAACTTCTCCTCTTTCTTATATTACCTCTAGAAAATATCGTTATTATTTTCAAGACGGGCTTTGCTAATTCCCTGGAGCAGGGAATTCCACAGGTAAAATGTATGTCGGTTGCTTTACGTGAATTCCTGAGGGAAGCTTTTTAGTAGTGGTACTGCTGTGATAAGCCAGCACCCCGTGAGATTGGGCCCTCTGGAGCCTATCTGGACTGTACAAGCCACGGTGTTTCCTGGTTGCAGGAAAAGACTGTTCACACAATCGCTGCCTTATTGTGAAGTTGCCGTCTCCCTCTTGACATTTATGTAATATCGCTGTAGCTGTACACAGTAACCTGGATCTTTCTGTGTCAGAGATAATGTAGAAATGTTTTAATGCTTGGGATATTGCTCTGAGTTCTAGGAGGTTTCCAGGAAACTTCATTTTGGGGGAATTTTACTGCTTTCAAATGACTGCTAATTATTTGACTGGAGCCTAGGAGCCAACAGGTCATGGAGCAGGACCCCTATGTGCTAAATTACATAGAAACTCAGAACACAGTGATGGTTCTTGCCCTAAAGACTTCCCAGTTTAAGATGAGAGACAACAGATGGATATCTATCTGGAATGACAGGGGAGCATGCGAGATACAATGAGACAATGATGGTTAGTGTGACAGGCATCAATCATAGCACATCAGCAACGGAGGTGCTGTCAAGTGCTTTTGAAAGCTTTGTGAGTGGGTCCACTGAGCACCGCAGGTGTGGAGGGGGTCCCTCTGAGATCACAGACCACTGTGTAGCGTTCTCATGCCTTTGTAGTAGGCACCAGCCAGTCTGATTTAGGGAGTCTACTGCTTAATTATCCCAGGAGGATTATTCTTTTTTTTTTTGCAAATAAGCTGTTACTGCCAACAGACCCCGTGTTGGATCCAGGTCTCCATCCCTTTTTGGTATAGGAAAAAAAAATTGAATAATACTCTTTGTCTCTGCTTTCCATCTGCACTGCTTCACAGCCCCCGGAAAAAACAGGGATCTCAATGTTCATCAGTGCTGAGGCAAGGAGTCCTGGAATAAGGAAGAGGAGCTGAGGGGGAGGAGCAACTTCATTTATTATCTGATACCTGCTGTGCCTCATTTTTTAAATCTACATGTCTGTGCTTATGGCTGTCCAGCACTGGGATAAATAACACAGATGGTCTCCCAAGGGTGGGAAAAGAGATTGGATTAAAATTAGATCTCTGTTCTTGGGCACTGTGTGCCCTACGAGCTAACAAGAAAGCACTGGCTGGAAATAAGTGTGTTTCCAATGGACCAAGGGAGATGCACAGGTTGCTTTTAGTCTGATTAGGGGTGTTTACTCCATGGCCAGTTATGCAATCTTTGGTATATTGTCCTGCTGTAAATAACTATTGGAAAGATGTCGTGTTAAAAGGCTGGGGATAGGAAATGACAGTTATGGAGGAAGGAGAGGAAGGAAAGGATTGTTTCCAGGCAGGAGGGAAAAAATGATGCTGTCAGACAGGCTGCCGTGTCAGTGCTGTCACACAAGAGCTGCAGGTCAGGGATGGCAAGGAAGCAGGAATTGCTGGGCTGGATTTGAAGCAGACTGCGTTTCTTTTTTGGCTAGGCTGTGGGGATCTTACAAGAGTCCTTGTTGTGAACCAAATGCTGTCTGCTCCTGGCAAACTCTGAGCGCAGCTTTGCAGGTTGAGCTTTGCCTTTCTGCTTTTAGCTGATGCCAGCAGCCTCCATTTCCCAGTTGCTGTTTTGCTCACCCATTTGACGAGGAGGAGAGTCCAGACAAGCGGCAGAGAAGGGCAAAAGTAGGCTATGGGCTGGGGTCCTCTTGCCCCGAGATCAAAGCACAGACTTCTTTCTCGTTGTGCTAGTGTACACAATGCAGCTGATATGGTTTGCTTCCATTAATCATAACCATACTCCTCCTTTGCAGTGAGATTTACATTAAAAATTATGATGTGCTCAGATACAGTCGTTAAGGAGGGATCAGAGAAGTATGTAAGATAAGCATAGACATCTGTTCTCCAAAAATCCTCCCTTTCTTGTGTGCAGTGCTGGTATTTGTAATATTTATCAGAATTCAGCCCACAAATGCACACTCCTGCAAAAAGCTTAAGCTTTGGCCAAAGACATATATCCTGCTTATTTTCTTTGATTTGTGAACTGCCCAAAATGAAGGAAAAAATTAAGGAAGTCAGTATTAATTGATGAGGAGAAAAGAGAGAGTTCCCCCTCCTTATCAGGAGGGAAGGGTTGGTTTATACTGGAGTTGTAAGGAATCAAGGCTTTGCAAGCGTGCTGTGATTTCTGTGTGCTGCTACTTCTGCATTTTCCCCTGCACAGCCCCAAAGCAAACTACACTCTCTTCAATCCATTGACACAGGATAGAGGTCTGAGATTCTGTGTTCCCATAAGGTTGATGTAACTGGGATGTATTCTGCTCCCCATTTTCTATTCACACCTGAGGAAACAAGCTGCAGTTCAGTCAACCGTGGAGCCCTTGAAGGAGAGAGGCTTTGAGTGGCCCCAGCTATTAAAAAAACCTCAGCATGGGCTGGCACAAGAGGACAGACCACAAAATACAAGGTCATTGGAAATGAGGCATCTCTTGTTCGAGCTGCTCCTGGAGCTGCTTGTTTCTCTAGGGAGATAGGCGTAGGTATGTTTCTTTGGGTGAGGCAGGCTTTTGTGCTCTAGGGTGGTCTCAGTAGCAATTCACCAGGATTGAAGTGGCAGCTAAAAGTAGTCATTCCTCCTCTCTCCTTATCTCTTGGCTGAGTCAGATTGAGATTAAATCTGCGGGTTAGCAGCTCGGTGTTTAGGTGGATTTTGTGAAAGAGAATCAGCTGGCAGCTGATGTCTGTCTCTGAGGCTTAGATGCGGGGTGCGTGTGGGCACTGTTAAATGCCACAGTCAGTGTAACTGGTTGCTATCAGATACAGGCTAGAGAACAGGGAGCAAAGAGATCTCCCCCAGCAGTACCTGAACCACACACCAACACTGTGGCTGGGGGGGGTCTTGGAACCGACTCTGGGAGGGGAATAACTCTTTGCGCCTGTGGAGGGGACCAAGCCTTTGGGCCCAGCAGCAGCAAGGAAATTGTGTAGCAAAAGGGGACCGGAACTGGCTGCTTTGTGATGTCACAGATCTAAACCAGCTAAAACTGGCTCAGAAGGGGCAGGAGAGAGGAAAAATGTCAGCCTAAGGCAAGAAGACTTGAAAAGGAGTACTTCACTTCCTCCTGATTTTATCCTGTGATGCTGCATACGGCAGGGAGGGGAATCAGCTTCAGGAGCTCCTTGTTTTCTTTGCCTTTCAGGGGCTGAACAGCAGGGTATGGATGGAGAGGATCTGTCCTCTTTTGGGTTAGATTGTTCCTGAGACTGGGCTCCTCTTTTCATGTGGGTTTGTGACAAGTGATTTCACTAGTGGTTTGCAGTTCAGTATCCTGGCTGCTACGTGACAGCACTTGGTTGGTTAGGCTTCACACACACACACCAGTGAAGACACCAGTCTCGATTTTTACAACAGACGTGCAGAACTTGGAGGGTTCTTTTGGCCTGGTCTTGTCCCGTTTAGTCACCAGAACTGCTGTGCCAATGCCACCCCCTGTACCACAGCTGAAAGCCATAATTTATATCAGAGTAGTTTGGGTTTTGCGGCACCCTTTGCCTGCACTGCTTCATGATGGACCTTCAGATCCGTGCTGCAGCTGCAATAGCTCAGACCAAACTGCTGTGACCCTTTCTTCATTTGTGGTCTTATAAATTTTGCCTATAATACCCATCACAAAGCACAAATCTTCAGGTTGGTATAATTGAACAGTTGAAGATTATTATTTGAGCTCTGGCTGTTAGAAGACAATGAAGAACTCTGCTGTGGAGAGGAATCTTTGTAATCTCTTAGATCTGTTTTGAGTCCTGTGATTCTGAATGGCAAGGCTGTAAATGACTGGACGTGTTTTGCAGTAGTAGAGATTTTTAAAGGAGGCTCCCTCAGGTGACCTATATGAAACCACTGTTTAGGGGAAGTCAGATACTTGGTTCCCCTCATTGTTTATCCCTTGCAAGCTGTACTTTTTGCACAAGCCAAAGCTTCCCTGAACACACACATTGCTTGTGGGGAAAAAAACCAAGCAATTGGCTGAGGGGAAAAGCAGGTGTTTTGTACTAAATGGTGATCTTTCTCCCACATTAAAGAACACAGCATGAAAAATGGTAGAAGCTGCTGTATCAAGTTGCAGACTCTGAAAATCGGTCCATTTTAGTTAAATTAATCTAACTGTCTATTTTGGCAATTGGCTTTAACAATGCAAAAGTGGAATCCAGTTTAAAGAAAAGCTACTAATGTGTAGTTGTGGTCTGTTTATGGAGTGTGTGGTTAGAGCGTTTGAGTCCCATTCCTGACAGAGTGCAGCCCTTGGCCATCAGCAGGGTTGAGTGTTTATGTGTCAGAAGTGGAAAGAGCTCTTACCTGCTCCCGCTGGGAAGGAGAATTGGCTACAAGATTTTTCTAGCACCTGGACTGCATTAAGCTTTATACATTCTGCTCGTTGAATGAGGAGCCCATAACTGATGCTTGCATAGCACTGAGAGCTACTTGCACAGACCTGTTTGGTTTTGCTTTTTCAAAGGAAAGTAACTCAGTAATTGCATCAGCGTTGCTGCAGTGGGTGAGCAGGACTATAATAAAGGCTAACTTCGATAAGCGGGCTCTGAAGTGGTTGTGGGGGAGCGATGAAATGGTTTTTTGGACCCACTCCAGACAGCAGTTGGTTTCTACTGCCTTAGTATTAGCAGGCGAGATTTAAGCCCCGCACAGGAGGTGGCTGCTTACATCAGAGACAAATTTGGTCAAACAGCATCTTGGGAAGGTGAGGGTGCTCCCATTTAACCAGAAGGGTTTGAAAAATGCTTTGTTCATCCTTTAGAAACAGAACATGCCCTCATTTTTCAGAAAAAGCAGGGACTGGGTATGAAATGGTTTGCAGATACTTGGATTAAATGTGCAGAGTATTGTCATAGCAACAAGAGGGAAACCCCTGCAAGGTAGGAAATATCAATGCAAACAGGTGAAGGGAAGCAGGAAACTAGCTCTGAGGGGATAAAGCTGCTGCCAGCAATACAGGTTCTAGGAGCAAAGCTATAATTGAGTCTAGGGAGAGGAGAGTATTTTAAACAGCTTCCAGAACTGTCTGTGCCAGCAGTATAGCACAGCTAGTTGAAATTGTTTACCTATAATACTATACCCCCTCCTCCAAAAATGTTAGACCACCTCTTCAATTTATATTTTTTCCAGTTCTCCTCCTCAGATGTTGATCTATATTAAAATTTGCTGTTAAGACTGAGGGAAGCTTTTAGTAGAAGCTTCAGTTCTGTTTTAAGCAAGTTGGAACGGGGCTTTAAAGTGATACACGACGTATTGTACCTGGTACAGAATAGTGGGTGGCTGCATGGGACAAGCATTTCAAAGGAAATGCGTGTAGGGCTTTTGAGGTGATATGGTAGATTAATGCTTGCTGGGTTATGAAAGGGCTGTGTACAGCCCAGAGCACGTGGGAGGACGGGAGTGTTCTGTAACTAGCTCCTGCATCTTGCAGCTCTGAGACAGCAGAGGTTGCGACAGAGAACTGGAGCAGCAGTAAGTACTTCTTGGATTGCGCATCACTCTTGTATCTTTTAAGGGTCTTGAATGAATTTAAAAGTGAAAAAGAAGTGATGATGAGGTTAGGGAGCAGACTGATGTCTTCCCTCCAATAACAGATTTTCAGAGATGCACTGAAAAATTCATTTTAATATTTCACACATCCAAAGGCAATGGTGGTGATTGGAGCAGTTGGTGGTACTCGGTATAACTGCCTCTTCCCTCTGATGCACGAGTCACGATGTGACCTGAAGTGGCAAGAATTTGCATTTCCACTCCGAGCCTAGCAAGTAACTCCACACTGGCCAAGGATGTAGCAACATGATAACCAAGAACCAGAATAAGGAGCTTGGCCTATGGGGAAACATGCATGTGATTCTCCGGTTATGAAGGAACTGCCTTACATCATTGAAAAGGTTGATGAGCCTTTCAAGGAAGATGGTTGATAACTACATGGAAGGAGGAGGTTAATGTCCCAAGACAGTACACTGTAAAACGGGTGAGTTCTGTGCAGTGTGCATTTCGGATAGCGGTAGGCCTGCCTAAATGAAGTTTTATGCAAACCTCCTTTCAGCTGTGAATGCACCATTAGGCTCCAGGGTAGATGGTTAAATTGCACTATTGATTTAATGTGCAAGAATATTTGTTAGTGCAGTGAAGAGATGCAGCTAATGACTTCTGTTGGCTTCTTCAGATTTTAGTCTGGCATACGAGGACAGAAAAGCCTGTGCTGGTGAATGAGGGGAAGAAAGGATTCACAGATCCCAACGTGGAAATCTGACTGTGCATGGCTGAACGGAGACCAACATCAGGTAAGAGCTCATATTTTTGAACTGTAATGAGAAGCAACAGTAAAAAAGGAAAATACTAGACAATAACAGGAAAAAGCCAAGAGCTCTTTTAAACGTGCTTTTTATTTCCATTTTTGACATCTCTGACCTTGCCTTACTGCAAAACTTCTAGAGACCATTAGTTAATCTCTTGTTTTTATCTTTAAGACAAACTGCTAACGGGGACATACCTGGTAAGAGATTGGGAGGAAGAAGAGAAATCCAGGAAATGAGAGTTTAGGCAGAAGTTATGTTGTTAAAAAACTAAACCCTTGTCTAAACAAGAAGGTTGCCTTATTAACTGTACTAATATAGCTAAAGCACCAGCGTGAAGGATGTGGATTCATCCACCTGCAAATACCTGAATAAAACTAAGGCAATACCAGTGAAAGCATTTTTAAGTCAGGCAGAAGCTTTCACTGAGGGAAGAGTTTAGTTTATATCCACATCAAAGCCACACAAAGTCAGTGACAAGTAAGGGAGGGTGCGGATTAAACCCCAGATGAGGTATTTGTTTACCTAAGGTGAGCACGTAGTGTCTTCTTCCATGGAAAGGAGGAAAGAACATGCACATTTGTGGCTGACTTTCTGCTCATTTGTTTGTGCCCTGGCTTCTCACCTGTAATTACCTGAGCATCCTGGCATGCTTAGTTTTCTGTATCTCCAGAGTGCACCCTGCAGTTGGTTTGCTGGATTGAAGGGTGGGCTATTAGCTTGTATCTGCATCCAGACTATGTTGCCACTCTTCATTATTATGGGGAAAAAAAAAATAAATGCACAAGTCCCTTTAACTGGAGTGTAGAACCAGGCCTGGAGGGGAGAGGAGGTTGCTGCTTGTTCTCTTTTCCTCTTGAATACAGAGAAGTAAGAGCAGCAAAGGAAAGGGGTAGATTTGCTCAGCAGTGGTATATTTTTAACAGTAATGAGCTCTCTTATAGCACATTCCTTCGGGCTAACTGGATGGAGCCCTGCCTGCTGCAGTGGCCTGCCTTTGCCGCCCTTTGGCAGGACAGCAGAGGAAAGCCTGCACTGCATATTATCTGCGCTATATATAGCGGTTTTGCAGAGAGGCCATAGCTCTTCAGCGCTGTCACAACTGCTTTTCACCAACACCCAGTTGCCTAGCAGCAGTACTCACGGATCTGCAATCTGAGATGGGTTTTGGGATAGTTCCAAGGGGTGGCAGCTAACTGCAGCGAGGCAGAAGGGTAATATACATGCTGGTTGTGTCTCTGTTGCAGAAATTTCTTCATGCACAGCCTGCAAGGTTCCTCTCCGCAGCATACAACCAGCCAGACATGCAGTAGCCAGGACTTCTGCTGACTTCCAAGAGTTTTAGTGTACTGAAAACAAGCAACTGCATACATAAACTACCCGGATTCCCCTGCCCTTCCTCCTGGACTCTGAGCAGAACCAGATGCTCTGGAGGTGGAGAAAAAGCACAGAAAATACAGGACTGACATCAACTTCAGTACAAGACCAGCTGTCTCGCGAGATGCTCGGTTTGGGAGAAGTGCATGCAGGGCACGATGCACTGAAGACACGGCTCAGCTGGAATGGTAGTCTAGACTGAGGGGGCTGTTCTAGAGGACCTGAAAGCAAGGGTGAGAATGCCCACAGGAGAGTTGGCCCCTGATGACTTGTTTTTCCTGAGACACACGTACCTTGTGGCTATGTGTGCAACAGCCTAAGCAGCTCTCTGTTCATGGAGGGGACAGCTGCCTTCTGAGATGGCACCTTAACCCTTAATTTTAAACCTACTTTAATCAGTGTTTATTACGCTGCACAAGACAGGAAGATTTTGGGGGAGGGTGAAAAGCAAGGCAGGTTAGAACAAAATCATTAAGTATCTCTTCTCTTGGTATTCCCTCTCCTTTCCCTTCATTAGTTTCATGGTTTGGAGGGCAACCTGACATACCTCTATGTTCCTGGAGTTATGTTTACAGCATGTGGTTCTCTATCATCCATGCTACAATAACTGGAAGTGGGTTTTAATGAGATTGTTGTGGCCATACACCATAATACTTCATCCAGACTCAGATCTTGGTTCTGTTCAGCTCTAATTTGGTTCACATGAGTGTTAGGTGTTGGATTCTCTGAAGGGTGCTTCTACATAAAGCCAAATTTCCTCTCTTAAAAAATAAAGTTAATGGCTTAAAACTAGGGATTGAATGATAAAAGCTGATTTTAGTGCATTTACCATTCTACTGGAATGTATCCTTCAGCCCTAGCCCCTTTTTCAGGGCCATGCCATACTACTGCAGAGCTACTGGTGTGAAAAGCCACGCTGGCGCAGTTCAAGAGTTAACTTCTGTTGGATAGAGCAGCACCCTTGTAAAGGGAATCCTGTGCTTAGTGTTCTGTTTCTTCAGCAGCTTGAGGTAGGGTGAAAAACTATCTATGTAGAACATTAGTCACCTCTTCCCTGTTCAGTAACATCAAAGGACCCGAGATAGCATTGATGAAAGGGTGTTCTCTGGTGAAGCTGTATTTTGCTTCTCAGTGAGAGACGCAGGACTGAGCAATGCAGAAGAGGAACCTGGGTGCTGCTACCTTGGTTCACGCTGTAGTTGAGATTGACAAACTCGCTGAGGAAGAAATTGACTTACAACATACCCCTTCTCCCCTCCTCCAGCCCCTTTAAAAAAAACCAAAACTCAACTCCCCCTTCATAGTTGTCCAACCTTTGATCAACCCCCACTGTCCCAATTCTTCAAAAAAGGTCTGAAGCACAATTTTACCTTTGAATTGAGGGAAAAATATAATCCTGGAAATAGACTTGGTTATTTTTAGCCCTAACACATAGAACTATTAAAATGCTATAGATTTGATTGTTAGCTTCACAGTGCAGAAGTCTCCCCTTGGACTAATGACATTGTGTATTTCCTAATATTTAAAAAAAAAAAAGAATTTTTTTGTAAGTTATTTTCTCCCACTGTATATCAAAACCATTGGGGAAAAGTTGCATTCCTTACTTCCCAGTCACAGAAGCCTTGCTACGTAGCCTTTACAAAAATGTTCCTTTAGATGCATTGGCTGAAGCGCCACTTGGATAGAAAGCATTTGACGCTACTGGCCGCTGACTGCTCTATGGGAGCATTGCTATCTTGTATTAAAACAGTAGCTCTCTGCACTCAAGCAGATTTATTCTGTTATTGTACTAACCTTCCAAGTTCACTTCAGTCTGCAAACCCTACAGTGGAAATAGACATTTTTAAAGGACTACAAAGTTTTCATACCGTTTAAATAGTTTCCAACTGATGTCCTCTCCTAGCTGCATGTTTGGTTTCACTAATCTCAATTCCAGTCCCTGCTGGGTTGCAAACTTCCCTCCTTGGAAGGAAATAACTTTCAGAAAAATGCAAAGGATCGAGTCCCGAACACAACCCTACATATATGCTCCACTCTCCTCAAAGTTGGTCACATGAACTTGGGCTCTTCCAACTTGCACAGAGGTTACCGTGGTCCTCAGGAGTAGTGATACGTATGTTCAGTAAGACCAGCTCTGGCCAGGATGGAGTGTATTACAGCTGCACTGTCTGTTCTCAGTTTTAAACAAACTGTATTTAAGTTCAATAAAGTTATGGTTTCTAAGAGCCAGAATACCCCGCAACTCCATTATCAGAGACAGTGCACGTGTTTGGTGTTTCTCTCATAGCGTGAATCCTCTGGTTACTGGAACAGAAAGCAGGGACTGAGCAACTTCTCGGAGATTCTGAACAGATTCACAGCTTGAATTTGATCTCTTCCTCTGCCTAAAAAGATAGCAGCTCCTCAGTGACTGCAGAGCTGGAGAGTTAAAAAAACATGTCGTGTTTTCCTAAATCGTGTGTTTCTGTTTTGAGGGACAAAAAGAAAAAAGAAAACAGGACCCGAGATCCCAGAACTTCACAGCAGGTTGAACTAGAAAGTACAGATGTAATATCCTGTTTGCAACTATATATGCAACCCCTTTACTTCTTCCCAAACCAAAATCTGATCCCTGCTCATTTTACAAGGGGGAATTTAATCTTTAGGTGCTTCACAGTGACAGCAGGGGTGGAGGGATGACTGAAAGACTAACTTGTCCTTTTCTCCTCCTGCACCTCCTCCTTGGAAGTTCTTATTCCTGCCTCGCCTGAAACAGAAAGATCTATTTGATAGAGAACAAAACACATTTCAATTTTTAAAACTTTTTTTCTTTTTGAGAGAGAGACAATCTCCATAGTAAAACTTTGTGGAAAAAAAAGCTTGAATTAAAGTCATTTGACAACCAACTCAGCTTCCAACAAGTGAACAAGTAATGGCCTCTCTGCAGAGTGAGCTGCTAAATTATGCCTGGAGGCACAACAAAACAGTTTTCCATACCTGGTTACTCACATGTTCACCAACTATTTTCTCCCTATCTAATTATAAAAATGAGGAGGCCAGTAATAACACATTTTTAAAGTCACTGGAGAGCTGAGCTCAGCTTTCCGTTCAGATGGCTTCAGTTCTTTCTCTCTCTCCTGCCTCCAGCAACTTTTTGCTCCCCCATATTCACCAGACGATCCATAACATCATGCGCAGCTATCCAAGCTGTGGGTCCTCAGTAGTGCAGGGAGATGAGCTTCTGCATCCGTCTACGAAACAATGGACTCTGGTTCCTTCAGGGCCCATTCTCTCTTCTGAACTTACTGCCAAAGAGCAAATCCTTTACCTGGGTCTAGTGGAAATTAACGTGCCCAAGTGCCTGGGCCATCATGTCCCCAGACATGCAACCAGGAATATTCAAGATGAACCAAACAAGGGAAAGAAGCCCTCATCAGTCCACGTACTGGGTTCTTCCTAAATAAGGTATGTCGACAGATTGTATTATGCGTCCTGCAGTGCGTTCTTCAAAGATGACGATCTGCAGAAGAGAGGGATATATAAAGTTCCTTCATACAAAGGCTGAGTTACTTTAAATATATTTAGGAGGAAAAGGCATACGATCACAGCAGGGGAAGGAAGCATCATTTAAGGAGATCAATCAATATGAGACTGTACAGTAACTGTGATTCTTCTTCGGCACCACATGATGCAGAAAATGAACCAGCACCAAATCAGGTTTGTCTTGATTTTGAACTTGATGCAGTGCTTTGAAGTTTAGCTGCCATCCTCATCATGTCTCAATGGTTGTCAGAGCCATAGTCAGCTTTAGAGCAGCTAAATTTTCATAGATCTTAGGAGATAACAGTCTCCTTCCTCTCTATCGCCCTGGTTTTCAGCTAGAGATAGGTAATTAATATACCATATATTTCTAGCTCTTTGCAATATGACTCAGAGCAGAATCTTTAATAATACAAACAAGCGAAGAGAAATCCCACCAAAGCCTCTCACCTCATTGCTCCCTTTCCATAACCAGGGGCCAGGAAGGTAGAGTGTTTCCTGAGGTCCAATTTTCCAGTAGCGGCCCAGGTTCTGACCATTGACAAACACAACTCCTTTTTCCCAGCCCTAGAATGAGGAGAGTACACAGACTTACTGATGCAGCTGTATTGCTTAGTTAGCATCCGCACGGAAAACTATGTCTGCTTTCACACTTGCGTTCTTTCAGGCCACTTTCTGCAGGTTTTCTGCTTGCTTTGCCTGTGCAACTCCCTGCAGCCATGAACATTTAAGTAAGTCCTATTGCACAGGAGTTATCCTTAATGTACTAATTAAAAGGATAAAGCTTTCAAAAATGTGCAATTTATGATTCATGCTTGTACAGGAAACTTCATCCTTTTGAAGAGACATGTCTTTATTTCTTCCCAAGCATAGAATATCTCCCCTTACCTATTTCCCAGGTGGCAGAAATACTGTATTGCTACTGACTAGCGTAATCTACAACAAAGCATAATGGAAAAGTGAGCAGTACAATCATGATGGGCATGAACCTTGGCTCTAAGGGACTGAAATAGGAGCAGGAAGTTTAATAATACTTAATATTTCATCTCAAGTTCTATGCAAGAGTGGCAGTCTTCCACAGAAGGAAGATGTGAATGCAAATTCTCGTGCCATGTCTATAAAGAAGTGACTCTTTCCATATCACATTGAGGAGGCAGGGATAAAACTAGTGCCTCCTTTAATTTTTGTGCCCATTACTCCTCTGCAACTAGAAAAGAAATAGCATTTGTATGTCAATAAAAAAGACTAACTGTTCATTAGCAGCTCTGCAGGATCAGTATTGCACTTGTTTTCTCATCAGGACCACTACAGACTGAACAGAATTACCTGCCAGCTTGATAGGACTTCTACGCCCTCAAAATAATTCTTTCTCCAAGATCAGAGGAAGACTAAAAAAATACAGACTATAAGGCAGAGCTCAGTCAGAGCTATTACACAAGTGTCTAACCTGCTTTTTAAAAAATCTCGATCAAGAAAAAATAGGGGGGGCAAAAAGGGACTTGCCTGCAGCTTCAAGAAAGTGTCCTGTGGCTGATGCTCTATCCACAGCCTTCCACGAAAAAAAGCCGGACCGACAAAGTAATCTGGGACTGCACTCCATCCAGCAGTATGTCGCAAGCTGTAAGAGAATGACCAAACACAGGTAACAGCAGGGAAGCACCAGGCAGCACTGAGAGACACAACACTGGTCTCAAGATCATTGCAAACCACTGCTTACAGTGGCGGGTGGGTGTCATTACAACAAGGTTGCTATTCCCTTGCAGGCCCAGAATGTCATGCAGTTGCTTTCTAGTGGTAGGGCCTAAAAGTAATAATATTCTTCGTGCTGCAAAGGGATGAAGCGGTTATCTCCTGTAAACATGCAAGGCAAACACCTAGCTGATCTCTCTCCTCCCCTTAAGATAAGTGTAATGGTGGTACATGTCTCAGTCTTCATTATCCTATGCTTGCCACATCACTGATAGGCCAATTTCTGGTACAAGAAAAGGATATATGGGGCTATCACCATCTCTGATACTTTACAGCAGCAGCGTAAAAATCTCTGCTTCATGTTGGCTGCTGAAGTGCCCATCCTTCTTCAGATATGACAGTGCCACAGCGCAAGCTTTAAATGCATGTGGCTTGCACAGGCTAAAGGAAAAGCTGCAGAATTGATAGGATTCAAAACAGACATTCCTGGCCATGTTCCTGCGGAGGAACATGAACACATCCTTGCAAGTTTGCATTAGTTAGGGGGAA